AACAACCACCAAAAAAAAAAAGAACAACGAAAAAAAAAGAAAAAAAGGCAGCAACACTAGGGACGTGAAAGCAGCCGGATGCTGAATCCGGAGTTTTCTCAACGCTGAGCTTTCTATCACGTGTGGCGTGGTGGGGCGGAGCTCTGCCGTTGATGTATTGAGAATCTAAGGGTACCGAAATACAGGAGAATAACCGATCATTAGATTTGGTCGTTTTGTAGAATTTTCCTTTCACGTAAAATCCGTTTTGTAGTATGCTTTGCCCCTTTTGGTTTGGGCGGGAAACCATTTTTTCCATTGAGAAAACTACCCTACCGAGGGTGGGGTACATTTCTCAACTGCAGTGCCTTTGCTTTTTTTTTGTTTTTTTACATATGATTGCATCCTGAAACGGAGGAACCCTGACGCTTTATTTTATTTTTTTTCGAAAAACTTCCAATTTCATTTCAAAAAAACATTGACAGCTGTGTTTGGCTGTCTGGCATCAAACTCGCTTCCTTCTTTGGGCAATGAATGCATCTGGCCATCCACGTTGTCCCTGTCCATTTTACAAATGGTGACCTCCTGTCCCCTCACCACGGGGAGTATCCCTTTTTCACGGAGACATTCACTCCGACTGTTCCAGACAGGTTTCATTTCTCCGAGTTACGTTATAAAAAATAAGGAGAAAAGCTGTTTCTAGCGTTTTTTTTTTCAGTTTTTTAATTTCTTTGTTTCGAATTTATTAATGTCGAAATGGCGTAAAGTTTTCTAAACTCAACAACGGTAGGTGGGACCAGATCCCTGGGGTCCCATTGTGTTTTCTTTTTTGCTTCTCTTCGGAAATGGGGGAAAAAAAAAAGGAGAACGAAAAAAAAAAAAAAAAAGCAACAACATTAGGGACGTGAAAGCAGCTGGATGCAGAATCTGGGGTACATGTGAGAGTATGCCCTCCCAATGGGATAATCCTTTCTCTCCCTCCTTCCTCTCCCTCTCCCTCTCTCTCCCTCTTCCTCTCCCTCTCCCTCTCCTTTCCCCTCTCCGTCTCCCTCTCCCTCGCTTTTTTTCCCTTCTCCCCTTCTCCTCTTCTCCCCTTCTTCCCTTCTCCCCTTCTCCTCATCTCCTCTTCTCCCCGTCTAGCCTTCTCCCTTCCAAGGCCTCCTTTGGCTCATCTTTCCTGCTGACAGTGCCGAGCCTTTTTTTTTTCCATCCCCCCCCCCCCCCCCCCCCCCCCCTCTCTCCTCCTGTTCTTTTGACAGTAGCCTGCCTTCCCTTTGCTTTGATTGATCTTGTGATATGTTCCATCTTTGCAGGGGTCGTCTCCTTTAGCTCGCAAACTTTTGCCGCCTATCGCGCTCTCGAATCAAGAGACCCAGATGGGTTGTTTTTCGATCCTCTAGCGGAGAGATTAGCTGGGGTGAAGGCAATGCAGGAGGTTGCAGAGAGAGGTACGAGGCCAAGCTTGTCTATTATAATTATAATATAATATAATAACGAATAATGTGTACTATAGGAGTATAGTTATACTAATTTTAGTATAATTTGGTATATAACTACTAAGGGGGAAACTACGCCGGAGTCACAAAAACGAGTTATAATTGCACTATGGGGCATTATAACTCGTTTTTGTAACTCAGCTGAATTTACCCCACTAAGGGGAAACTACGCGGGAGTCGCAAAAAACGAGTTATAATTGGACTATGGCCCTGTGGGCCAAAATAAATTTTCGAATTGCACTTCGGGCAATGTATACAGCCCAAGTTTATGGCCAGGTAGGGTGCCGGGAGTGCAATTGCAAACTGTATCTTGCCCCATAGTGCAGTTATAACTCGGTTTTGTAACTGTACTGAAGTTACCCCAACTACTAATTTGTACTAGTGGTAAGAAAAAAAAAAAAAAAAAAAAAAGGTAATTGCCGTCATAACTGGGCTTGATGCTTAAATTAGGGAATGCTCTTATCAGTGTTATCACTTTTTTTTTTTTTTTTTTTTTTCAGCTCTTATCACTTCTCGTAGCGGTGGTGTCTTTTGAAGTTTCAAGGAAAAAAAGAAAAGGACTGGGCAATTGGTAATTCAGAATTCTTATCTTATTATTAATTTATTATAAATTATTTTTAAAGTTGAAGAAAATCAGAGTTGGAAAAATGCATAGTTCTTACGTTTGTGCTCCCCAGAATGGAAAAGGAGCCAGTTCCGTAAAGACCTAGCTTTCCCGGGGCGCCCGACCAGGCGGGCGCCCCGGGCGGCACGCCCGGGTAGGGACCTCGCCCGGGGTACCCGGGCATGAAAAAAAACCACTGAATTCTTTTTTTTTTTTTTTTTTGGCCTACAGGGCCTTGCTGCGCTTTCCAAGTACAGCCCAAATCCGGCCTCGTTTCTTTTTTTCAGGCATGTTGGTTTCCGTGTGTTTGGGGGGGGGG